TAGAATTAAATACTCAAGTATACTCTTTCTATTTTTTATAAGCTTCGCTATACTATCTAAAAAAACCTAATAAAAAATTTTTCTTTTTAACCAATTGCCAAAGCTTCAACTTCAGTTGCATCGGCTCCTTATTTAATGATTTTGCTAGTTCTAAATTTTTGTTATAACTTCATTATTTGTTACATAAAAAAACGTCTACCCAAAACTATTCTATTTTGAGTTTTCTTTACTAAAAAGCTTTTAAATTTAAATAAGAACAGAATAGTAATATTTTTATGGTTAGAAAAGGTTGTATTTATTCATTTGAATCAAGGTATCGATTATTTGTTTTAAAAGTCTCTAGCATTAAAAATAAAATAGTAACTTTTTGGATTGGGTAGAGAATTTATTATTTATTATACTTGATATATAAAATGTAATTCTTGAGCGACTTTTGTTTTTGAAAAAAAAAATAGGTTATATTTCACTAGTTTTTTCACCGAAATGATAACTTTTTAAAATTTATTTCTGATTCATTGAGTGGGTGCTTGAGTACACCCTTAGTCTAATATAAAACCCATTTTTGAAAAGTTTGGATTGAAGTCTTGTGTAAAATATCATCGTGCAATTCACGGGTCACCCATTGGGTGACCCACCCGTTTCTACCCGGGTGGCAAAAACTCCACTCGGGTCACCCATCTACCTGCAGGTGAGCCGAGTAGCCCTACACAGGTCCAATTACTACTTTAGCAGACCCCAAATCAGGTTAGATCTTTGTAATATTAAAAATCCAGTAACTTTCGTCAGAAGAGTATAACAACTTATAATAGGAATTACTTACCAATAATTCTAATTCCTTAGTCTCATAAAAGTTATAATAAATTTGCTTATTGCAGTTTGCAAAAAAATGTGAAATTTGCAAATCAAAAAAAAAAGAAATCGATAATTTCCAATTTCTGATTGCTGATTTTTTTAATATTACTTCCGATGACATATGTATATCAACTAATATTATACCATATAAAGTTTTATATATATTTATTCAGCATACATTTTTTTAAAAAAAATTCATTTCTAATGACTAAAATTATTATTCCAGAACATGCTTTGGATATACAAATGTCTTTTTATCAACTTCTAAAATTTATTGTAATAAAAATATAAGTTATACTAAAGTTTTTTTAGCAATATCATATAATAATCCTTATAAGATTGAATTTAGTGCAGCTTTTAAATTTTCTTCTTGCATATTATGCAATAGATATACAATATTGGGCAAAAATTGTTGAATAAGGTAATTTGGCAAATAAGCATGTGCCACTTTGCACATATGTAACCAATCATTTGCCGTATTCAACAATTTGCTCAATATTAGTGTTATCCTGCAATTTATGATCATGATTGGTAAGAAGTTGCTGGCTGAGTTTTAATTTTGAATATTGAAATAAATATAATTACATAGTAACACATAAAAAAAATAACAATAAATTTTTTCATAATCATGAGTTTGCCGGATAATAAATTTTACTGGGCTAGAAAAGAAGCAAAATTTAATATTACACAATCAAATTCTTTACAACATAAAAAGTATGCAATATATATTTCTACAAATGGTGTTAAATCAAAATATATTACAAAATTATGAATCTACAACTTTATTTTTGCAAAAAAATGTTAAAAAAATTGGCAATCAGAATTAGAAATCATCGATTACTTTTTTTTTTGATCTGCAAATTTTATATTTTTTTGCAAACCACAATAACCTTAATTATATATTGTGTTAGTAAATTAGCAAATTTTATATAACAATTTTTTACAGTAATTCATATCAAAAATTATAATAATTCTAATACAAAATAATGTGATAGAAATTACAATAAATTTAATATGAACTCAACCTTAACTACATCAAATCAAACTATCTTAACTATATATCAAAAAATCAAGTAAGTTCTGTACAAATTTTTGTAGCAACTTGCAACAGAAATTATGATAATTCAAATACTGACTCAAATTTAACTTCATCGAATCATGATAATTTTAATAGACCTAACTCAAACTTAACTTCATCAATCATGATAATTTTAATAAACCTAACTCAAATAAACTTTAATTACATACTGTGGCCATTGGAATAGCGAGTATGTTTTGTAACAAATATTTACTAATTTAACTTTAACTATATATAATGTTATTGGAATCCATACAGCACAAATAATAGTATACTTTCATATTAAAGTACTCCTTAAAAAGTTTTACATGGAATGTAAAATATCTAGGTATTTCCCTATGTAAAAATATTTTTTAAATTAAAAGTCACCATCTATAATACCTGGGTACTACACTGGTGATCATAAATAATATATCAAAAAAAAATTTTACCTAGATTGTATTATTTTCCACAATTCTGGGTGTATCCTTTTATTTTTTATTTTATTTTATTCACCAATACCAACATTTTCATCAATAAAAAAAACAAAAAAATTCAATGAACAAAATTTTTCACAGGTACGAGCTTTATTTCAAATGCTGTGTTGTATTACTTTTGCTCGTTTTTGCAACAACACAGCTATAAACCAAAAAATTTTTTTTTTACATAAAAAAAATATAATTTTTTTTTCTATTTAAAAATTATCCACATTCATCATCGATTGTACCTGCCCTGAGTTCTAATTACAGCACGGATTCAGTCTGGCATCAAATGAACTAGCCTTCTGCAGATTTCAATATCAATCACCTGCCAGACCTCTTGAATCTTTTTCCAAAAATCCATCTCACTCAAAATTTGCTCAGGAGATCCCTCAACCGACAGTAGATTTTGTCCTATAGGTTTTAATCAAGTTCAAATCAGGGATTAGGAGGTCAATTGAAGAACTTCACCTTGTTACTCTTACGCAAACATTCTGACAAGGTTGCCATATGACAGAATGTTCTATCTTGTTGGAAAATTACCTCACCAACATCAAATTTTTTGATCTCTGATCATCCACATCAGGTCTTTGCGAAGTATCTGCTGATACAAGTTGCCATCCATCGTGCCGTCAATCTTGCAATAGCTACTAACACCATGAGACTAAAGCACCCCCAAATCATGATTGAACCACCTCCATATTTCATAGTGGGCTTCACATGAAACTTATTTAATGGTTCCCCATGATGCTTCCAATAGTATTGCTTACCATCTGACCCAAAAATTTTAAATCTAGATTCGTCAGACCAAATTACCTTTGACCAAACGTCAACGGCCCAATTTTTGTACTTTTTTGCAAAAGTGAGCTGTGCTTTTCAATAACTGTCGCATATGTATGTTTTTTTTTTATTTACTCCTAACACTGATATGTGGCTATGAAGTATACGGCGAATTGTAGATACTGAAATATCCATACTTGCATTTTTTGCAAGGTAGGCCCTCACTTTAATGGCGGTGGAGCACTTATGGGAGGTAATAAGGTTCACTATTCTTCTTTGGGTTGGTTCACCCAACGAAGATAGGTGACCGACCCTTCCTAAATCTTGGAGCACTTAGTTCTCAAGCCATCTTTTCTTGATTCGTGAGATGATGGAGAAGGCAATATGGTGAGCCTGGCCTATAGCCCTCATCATGTATCCTTTTTGTAGCAAGAGCAAGATTTGTGGCCCTTTGGGCAGAAGTGGTATGGTTCTTTTTTTTGCTTTTTTGATTATCAATTAATTCTAACATTGCACATAATGCAAAATCAGACAAAGAAAATCTATTTATAAAAATGTGTCACGTAGTATATGTAAGCCATCTGGTCTTTGGTAAAAACAAGCAAAAATAATGCATCACGTGTTTTGTAACACACACGTGGTTATTTTCGGATTGGCAGTATAGATGTTTAATAAAATTCTACAAGTAAACAGCAATGCAATTCATGAATAAAATAAAAAAAATAAAAGAATACACCTGGAATTGCAGGAAATAATGCGATCTAGGTAAAATTTTTTTTTTAATGCATTATTTATGATCGCCAGTGTAACTTCCGTGCTATATATTAGTAAACAAATTTGTAAACCGGGGATGTTTTTTTTTTGACAATAATTTATGATAAATACATGGGGGTGAGTCAATAGAAATCAAGCAAATTTTTTATAATAAAAATTTTTTATAACTTTAAACAAGAATAACTTAACAAAAACTTGACCAAATTTAATGAAAATTTTTTTAAATAATTTTTACAAACTTGTAGAATTAATTTAAAAAAATTTTTATTAAATTTGATCAAGTTTTTGTTAAGTTATTCTTGTTTAAAGTTATAAAAAATTTTTATTATAAAAAATTTGCTTGGTTTCTATTGACTCAACCCCACATAATAATTCCAGTGCAAATTAATCAATCTTAATCATATTCTATGGACAAAATAATAAGGAGTAAGGTTTTAATAGAATTTTCTGCGGTCACTGGAATAGCGAATAATTTTAAACCAGAATTTACAGCAATTTACTATAGAGATCATGATAATTACAATTCGAAATAACTTCATCATATATGTGGCCGCTGGAGGCCAAGTTCTGTAACAGACTTTTTTTTTTTTTTTTGCGCTATCTCAACTATGTGTTATTGAAATAGCAAGTTTTTGTAAAAGTAACACTATAAAAATAATGATAATGTAAACTTTACTACATACTGTGGTCACTGGAATATCGAGCTTTGTGTAAAAAATATGCCAATTTCACAAACAAACTGAGTTTTAACCAGTGTGCCTGTTGTGTTAGCAAGTAAATTCTGTAATAGAGTTTTTTACAGTTCTTAATTCGACCCTAATTGTATATTGTGCGTACTGCGATAGTTGATAAACTCTGTATAAGATGGGTGGCGCTGCGCGCCACCATCGCACTAGTACATTTTATGTATAATATGATTGCAAGATAGGATTCTCTTAAGTAATACTAAGAAAACCTTGAAAGAAGGTTTAACTTCAGTGGTTCATTTAATTATATAGTATAGATGTATGATACAACTTAAAGGTCGTACTGTAACAAGTCTATGTAATACAAAATATTTAGATATCGAAAAATGTATCGTAATTAAATCCAAAGTGTTGGGGTAGAGGATCAGTAACAAAAGATTGAAATGAATAGGGTTGAAGAGAATAATTAGGGTCCAACCAAGAAAGTGGCTCGGTAATCAAATTATTAGATAAAGAGTATTCAGAATCAGTGATGGACGATTGTAATTGGTTATTAGGATCGTCAAGGGATCCAGGCTTTTGCAATTTTAATAGATCTCTAAATTTTTCTATTATTGTATTTATTTCATTATTTTGCAAATTTTTAATACGAAACCTGAATTAAAATTAAATAGAATATATAAATATAAACTTTACCTTGAGTAATTTCGATTTTTGCATTATTACTAAATTTCAGGTATATTTTGTCATTTTCTCGAATAAAATTATAATCAAGGGGCGGATCTAATCGAATAATTTAAAAGCAAAAGTTATATATGTATAGCATATGCGAATAAAATCTAATACTTAGGAATATTTATTACCTTCCATAATTACTTTACAATTATTACATCGAGGTGTTGTTTCTTTTTTGTCTTTATTTTTTTTATAACATTCTATGCATTGGATTAAACACATAGTTTTTCTCTTTCGGCATCTCTCACATCTGAACTTTCCTGGTATTCCACTATGCTCGCACGCTTTTTTTTGCTCATAGCAATTTGCACATCTGTCTGATAATGCCGGCTTAATTTCTTGAAGTCCATATACAATATCACTTTCGAAAATGGCTGTTTTATTTATTTCTGACACCTGAAAGTTAATTTATTTAAATTATATTTTGTAAAAGAAAATTTATTAAAAGTATTAAACATGAAAGATTTAATTATTAACCTCTGGATTAAATTCTTCTTCGTGCAAGTGTGTAATAGTTCCAAGAGTGTTTCGCTTTGGTTTTGGTCCACGCTTTTTTGCAGACGGAGAATAGATACATTCTAAATGTTTCTCCAAACATCTTTTACACGGTTGATGTGAAGAATCGGCTTCACATTTTCTCCTCGACTTCACACAACTATTACAGGCTGTTTTTGCATAATTCCTTGGAGATTTTTGTTGATACATTTGTAGTTAAATTTAAATAATATATTGGTTTTAAATAGCTTTTAATCATGCCAATCGTTCCTAGTAAGTATAAAGATTTTATCTTGCGAAAAACATTGTCGCAAGATGTATGACTTGTGTTCCTTGCGACGATTATAGTCGGCTTGTACTTAGTTGCTACAGTAATTTTTCCAAATATATCATTTATTTATGTTAACAGCATGAATATCCGACAGGCTCGATCGGAAATAATGCTAACAAAGGATTTTGGTCGGAAGGTTATACAATACTCTAAAAAAAAAAAAAACCCCCATTCATTTAAAATGAATGTCCTTTAGGACTTTTCTTACGATCATAAGTTCCGATAAACGTTTAGCAAAGTATGTTTTTATTCGTATGTACTTAAATACATGACCTTCCTATTTTAACATTAAAGAATTCATATGCCATAGACTATTTTGTTTTTCATTTACGGTATCTTTAGAATTATGTCGAACTTAAATCCAAAATTGAAAGAAACGTGCTATTGTTGTGCCAAAAGTAAAAAAAAATGCAATTACTATGGAACCCCAGGAGAGTTCTTATGTGAAAGATGTAGAAATAAGAAAATATGCTGGTTTCTATGTGAAGTGTGCCAAAAGAAAGATAAAGATAGGAATTTTTTCTACCCGTGTCAAAATTGTAAAGTGACAACAAAAGGTACGAAATGTACAGAATTTCTTCAGAATATGCCCTCTAATTAGCCTGTAATGGTCAACCGACATAAATTAGTATTCTTCTTTCTCATATGAAACTCACATTTTTATTTACAAGATCCACCTGAAAAGTATAACATTTCTATAGATGCGTACGATCAGAGACTTTACCTAATGCATTCCAAGTGTAATCACAGAATTGAAATTACTCCTAGTAAGATTATCTCTCTATATTCTATTGTCTTCAATTTTGATGCTAACCCAATAATAGCTTTGCTAGATGAAATGGCAACATTATATAGAACTTATTATATGTCTTCAAATACTCCTGGCTTTTCTGGTGTAATTTTGGGTAACTAAGAAATATCGTCATGTTAATAATATACTTACATCAGGAAATTTTAAAACCTGATTATGATCAATTACAAGCAGTTAATCGGTTATAATCGATTAATTTTAAGCGGTCATTATCGGTGGGGATGATATTAATTGATTAAAAGCGATTAAATTAAATCGATTATAATCGACTATTTTTATTATAATTAGTAAAATCTTTATCACGTGTAATCGGCAGGGTGAAAGTAATCAATTAAACTCATCAGATTTTAATCGACTACAATCAGTTTTCAAAATTTCCTATGTAAAGTTATCGTAAGGATTGTAAATAGCGGGAAAATACTAACCTCGTGAATTCGCTCACACGATTAATATATACCATTATTTTCATATCCTGTGCGATTACTATATGATAGCTTAGCTTCGTTGCAATTTTTAAATAATTAATTCTATACCCACAGAATCAACACCTATTTTGCCTATCTCGGGTACATTTCCATCTCAATTTTATGCATCAAATGCATTCGTTTGGTCCACCAATCTTTTGAACGTGCAACCATCACCATACGTATACGATCCAAGAATAAATCTAGACCTAAATACTGCACAGAACAGTGTTTTATCATATTATGATCCGATGTTGTCTCAGTATTGTGATCCGATGGTGTTTCAAAATGATTTCCCTCATAATATCGACGATTACGGTTGCCAGTATCTCAATTAGTCATAATGGATTTCAAATCTGAAGAATTATATAATGAAAAATAGGTAATATTATCTATAAAACTTTGTTAGCTTTCGCTTTAAAAAAAAAATAATAAATAAATTCTAATCTACTTTAACTACTATATATAATATATACGTTGATTCTAAGCATTCGATTTTGATGTTGGTTGGATTAACACTTCTATAGATGTCAACATATATCCGAGCTTCTTGCGTTATGCAGTCAATTCGTTTCTATACACTGTACCTCTATTTCCAAATGATTTGAATAAGCCGGAGTTCTTAGCAAATTTTAAATGTCATATAACTTTTTATTCTTAAATTCTATGCCATTGGCTTCTATACTTTTTGGGAAGTCCTGCTACAAGATCTTTTGTACCAAAAAGAAAACAATAAAACCAATTATTCACATTTTATATCTTCAATGAAGGTCTTTTTTTTTTTTTTTTTTTTTTTTTTTTTGTTAGTTATAAATCGTTGTTTCTTTTTTCGTTGGCCTTTTATGTTCATTTTTCGTTTGCGGAATTATAGTCGCATATGATCGGCATAATAATTCCGCTTGCTTCGGAAAAATATTCGAACACTGTCGGCATTATTCCACTTAATGGTGATCCTGTATTGGAATTTATGAATTAAATTGTGGAAAAATGAAAGCGGTATTATTCCGCAACACACGTATTGTATGTATGCACTTACGTACGTCCGTATATAAAAATAACCAGGCATGTGACCTTCGTGGCAATATTGATAACGCGCCGACCCACATAGTATCGCCACCAAGATCATGTATGTAATCAACGCACCTAGCATCACCACCATAATCATGTACGTAATCGGGTTTAAAATTTCAATCTGAGCACAAGAATAACCGAATCACAAGATTTTTGAAGAAATAATTGAAGTTTTTTTTTATTCAAATTAGTTATTGGGATTTACTTAATTTCCACTGCAAATTCTAAGTCGAATTACATTCAATCCAAACATTCAAATGCAAATTCAAGATTTTTAATCCATGTATAGAACTTTAAATTCTATCAGTAAATGTGTTTGTTACGATCTTTTTTTTTTTTTTTTGGAAAGATTATTAGATTTTTCAAAACAATCAAGCGCCAAAAACACAATAAAATATATCACAGTACTTTTATCATTGTTTTTTTTCATTCTTTTTTTGAGTTCATAGCTATAGGTAGGATCCGTGAATAATCAATATTAAAAATGAATATTCAATTTAAAAACGAATGTTCTGGTACATAATTTCGTAAATATTCAATAAATATTAATTACATGAGGCTCGTGAATAGTCGTCGTGAATAATCTAATCCATTTGATCATTTTGTATCCATGTAAAATCGGATATTCGTTCAATATTACTCGTGAATGTCCAAAAACCATGAATATTTAGTTAGCCATAATGGATATTCAAAGGATCCCAACTTTATTCACATCGGCAATTACACCAACAGGTAAATGTAGTAGTCTTGATTTGTTTGTTATCATATTTTTTATGGTAAACGTATGAATAGCCATCTCCTTTCACATAATGAACTTGCAAAAACTTCCTCTGCGTCATTTAATTCTAATTCATTAATCATTCGAGAAAAATCTACAACTACCTCAAGATTTATATGCATTTTGCTTCTCCAATATCCATAAGCTTTTCATAAACTACAAACTATATGTTTAATCTTTTCGGATTTTAAGGCATTTTCTTTTTGCTTACAAATATCATTTAAAATTTGTTCTTCGCGTTTTCTTTTTCGGCTTTCATTTATACGGATTGAACACTCAAAGCATGTTTTTGATTACTTTGAAATGTAATAATGGGTTTTATAATTCGACAAGACGAACAAAGTTTTGGATTTTCCATTTTACGATATTAAAGAAAGCGTAAATAGTTGTTCTTATTTTTATTCAAATGTCGGCATTATTGCATCAATCATTAATCATAATGGCGGCAAATAATTTTAAAAACCGATTACGTAGTATCGCCACCAAAATCATGTACATAAGCGGGTTTAAAATTTTAATCTGAGCACAAGAATAACCGAATCACAAGATTTTTGAAGAAATAATTGAAGTTTTTTTACTTATTTATTTTTTCATATTATTTATCAGAATTTAAGAATTTACTTAATTATCACTACGAATTACATCCGATTCGAATATTTAAAATGCAAATTCAAAATTTTTTAAATACGCGCATAAAGATTTAAATTTGAACTTAATGTTAATAGCTTGATGAAAAAAGAGATCATTTACAAGTTTATTATATGATAAACCTTTAAAATCTTTATTCTTTATTTATCAGTTTTTAAAATTATTTTTAGTTTAAAATTTCTTATATTTGCAGGCGAAAGTTCATTAAAAACAATATTTAGATGTCAAATATTTTAGTCATGACTTCTGGTTCTTTAAATGTAATGGTCTGATATAAAATAGAAATGGCGTGATTATTCACGTGTGTAAACGCTTGGTCAATTTCACATGAATTTCTCGAATAATGCTGGTGCTCAAAATAATGAGCAGATATGCATTATTACACGAAATACTGTATTCAAAGAAAAACTATATTAACTTAGTTAAAGATTTTTTAAGTTCACTTTTTATTATCATATAAAATTGGATTAAGATGACAATCGTATGACCGATAGAGACCCATATCATAGATTATGTTCGACTTGATCAAATTAAGTATAAAGTCATAATCTTGAATAAAATTTCATCTTATCATTTTATTGTATTGTTGAGATTAGGCGCACTTATCAACATGACACTAACAAACGTTAATACTTTTCATCATCATATCAATATACTATTCAGGATATAATCAATACCTGGAATAAAGATGTTTGTTTTGTGGATCCGAGTAACCTGATGATCAGGCAATCTAGCAATCCACTTGAGCATTTGGACGTTCAGAATCGCGTTCTTTAAAAATCTATATGCGAAATCTGCGGTGCGCAGATTCCGCGAGCAAAATTTTCATGGAATTTGTGTATTTTATTATACGCCATACATGTTACGTATACTTTTTTTTTTGAATTTTTATTATACAGTATTTACAAAAATCACAAAGCTTTTACACATATTGAATTAAAAATTAAATTTTAAATACGGATAATGATTCTATTTTAAATACGGATAATGATTCTTATTCTAAACTTAAATAATCAATATATCTATATTTGAAATAATTTACATCTTTCAAGTTTATATTGATTATTGGACATGACCACATTGTGCTTGGACGTTTCATATTCATTGTAACGAAGAAAACGAAGAACCCATTAAACTCGTATATTGTACTAAAAAAAACTCAAGCATTGCTACATGATCAAATTTTATGATTGTCCCATTATATTTGATTATTCAACACAATCTATATAAGCATGTGCTAACTCCTGTAGCTGAATCGTATATGTACGAACAATAGAAATCAGCTTTAGAATGGTTTCATGGAATTCTAGATAACACAGTATGTTTAAAATTGTCTTTATTAGTGTCATATGATAAGTTTATGGACTAAATTGTAACACAATTCAAGTAGCACATCTACAATTTGGGATGGACGGATTTCATGTTGAACAAATTTGGGACGATCTAAACATGAAGTTTTTTAGCTTCATGTTAATAAAGTTTAATGAATTTAACATATAATATATAAAATGATTTTTATTTCATTAATATAGAAATAGGAATCATCTCAGATTATGGTCTAATCGGATTAATAATAGATAATCAATTGATTGTATATCGAGAAACAAATAACAAAACAATATATATATAAAGTTGTATCTCTGACCCGTGACATTCATTGGCGGTTCTTTCCAGAGTAAACGCAAAAATTCAACTCAAATTATCTGGAGAACGGAGAACTTAATGGGGAAGATTTTGCGCGCGTTTATGTCCGCATCTATTATTAGATTAGATGATAAATTATAATCAAATTCGTCTGTTTCTATTTCTGGATGCAAAGTAATTTTCAAATTTGTAAATTAAAAATCAAGTGACGCATATAAATTACTACCTGGCTTTAGACAATCCCTGGTAATCGCAATTTTATCTCCGAACATCTTACAGTGTAAAATCTATTTTATATTAACAACATACCCTCTTAATTATGTGATAAACATCGTTATTTTGATAAAGTCTAATGCTATCCTAGTAGGGTATGGGTTAATTGTAAAATAGTTCAATGCAACAAATAAAACAATTTTTTTTTAAAAGAAAAAAGAAAATCACATTATTTTGTTTTCTTGTTTATTTCTTAATGGCAGTTTCTTTCATTCTTAATAATGGCTTATCTGATGATGAATCATTTAAAAAATCGATTACATAATTAAACGGAATAAATTCGCCAAATAAATTATGTGGATTAGTATTTGTTTGTATAAATAGCGTTAGTTGTTTTAACATTTTAATAGCATTTTAGCGTTATGATTATTCCAATTATGGACAAAACATTTAAATATTATTATTTGATTTAACCGAATTGTCTCGGATATGTAACAATTTCTATCGTAATTACAATTAAATAAATTCTCAATAAAGTGCAAAAAATAAAAAAAAGCTGTAAAATTCATTTATTCCTATTTGCTTTATTTATTATCTATACGCACAAATATAGTAATGAATTATTTAATAGATTGTACTTCGTTAAATAATTTACACATAGCTTGTGAAGCAAATGTACAAGCATCGAAGATTTCTAACGGCTTACATTTTGATTATGATAGTTAATCTTAAATCGAATTTTTATTTTATTTTATTTTTTTAATAGTGTCGGTTATCTATCAGCGGTAGCCTATTAGTTTTTAAACACAAGAAAAGCTTCTTTTGTTCCATATTTTATAATAACAATAGAAGCAGAAACCATCTCAACTTATGGCCTAATCAGATAATCTATTGATTATATTATCACGAAGTAAATAATAATACAATAATAATAATAAACAAAACCAAAAAATGTAGTATTTCTCGATCCATAAGATTTCATCGGTGGTTTCTTTTCAGTGTAAATAACGCATAGATAACAATTATCGTAAAAATTCAAATATGTTTGTTTGAAAAACGGAAACCAATGGCGTGTATTTATGTCCACACTTCTAGATTAGATGATAAAATCTTAGCTAATGGGGGGTTTCAAAGTTAGCAAATAAGTGGCACATTTTGAAATTAAATGAGAGTTTGAAAAACCTTATTTGTCTTTCAAGATTTTAAAATTGGAAAATGAAATGGGAGTGTTTGGAGATCCCCATTTCATGAAATCGGAAAATTTTTATAGTACTTCGTAAAAAAAAAAACAAATACGTTCAATTTGAAATTAAGATCAGATTGCCGGATCACTTATTTCAAAATAAATACGTCATCGATTTCAATTAAAATTAGATTTCCGCATTTTAACTTTGAAACCCCCTAATGCATCTGCTTCTATTTCCACTAATTACAAATTTTATCACCGAACATCTAACCTATTAATTACTTAAAAATCGATTTTATATTAACGTACTTAAACACGTAGTAAATACCATGATCTTGATAAAGTCTAGGCTTACTCTAATAGGATATATGTAAGTGTCAAATAGTTTTAGCATAAATCAATGTATTGTAACAGATAAAACTTAATCCATATTTCACACGTACATTTATTTTCTATCAGTCGTATGATGAGAATTTTTTAAAGAATAAAGTTTTTTTTTCTGTTTATTCTTTAATGGTAGCTTTATCGGATTTAAAAAACGATTACGTATCGTTAATTAAACGGAATATCATCAGGATATGTATAACGTAACTGCAGATCCACTCAATAGTTGCTGTGGCTTAATGAAATCGGTTTTATCATTTTAACATTAAAGATTCTTCCTATTATAGGTATGAATTGTTTCAATTTAGCAGTGGAATAAATAATAAATGCTGTACAAACAAATTTTTGTTGGGTTTTCGCTGAATTCTATTGTACGTAATTATCGACAATAAATTTCTCAACAATCGTAAAAAAGGAAAGTTAAAATATGAAACATGATACTCATTAAAACGTCTTAAGGTAATAGATATTTAAAAGTTTGTCGTTCGAACATAATAAATGATCCATACGACATTTGTACCTATAGACAATAAACAAAGCAAATTGGAGTAGTTTCATTGTAAATATCAAACAAAAGCCTTTTTTATCGTGCAAATTAATTTACACTACGTATTTTGTGGAACAAACTGATGAAACTAAATTGAGCTGGTGAAACTGGTGACTATCTAAAATCTGATTGGCTATTATAGTAAACAGCCAATCAGATTTCAGATAGTCACCAGTTTCACCAGCTAAATTTAGTTTCACCGAAAAAAAATATAAAGCTAAACCATAATCTCGAGATTATTAATAACTTGTATTTATTAAATTTTATTTTATTGAATTAATTAAATTTTCTTCTTATATCAAGAGTTTTTACACCGGGAGTCAGTTATATACCAATCTTCTTTCAGTGTCGCCCCATTAGCTTTTAATTAAAAGAAAAACTTTCTGTTGCACCACTGACTATTAGCACGTGTTCAATATTTTTGTTAGCACTGATTATAATGGCACAAAATACTATGTATTATTTAGTAGGCAGCAAAGTTGTAAAAAAAGAAATAACGTTGATGAAATATGAAACTCTACAGAATGATCATCATAAACCGATGGCTATAAGCTTAGTAGAAAACTTTGTTAGTGCTAATAATGAAGACATTAAGAAATTAATACTAGAACTTAAGTCAATTGAACATAAAAACGTGCTTAAAGTCTTTGGTCTTACATTTGGTAAGTATGCCAATTAACATCTAAGATGTCTTGGACCATATAAATTCACTCCTATAATATAATATAAAGAGGATCAAGGTTGGGCAGCGCAATTTATTGTCATATAATATGGCTTATGAATATTCCTATTCTTCCTTAGGCATTATGAAAGGGGGAGGGACATAGTTGCCGTCCAAACTAAATGAATGGCCAAATTTCAAGAAACTTTAGAATATTAAATAAATAATGGAATTATTAATACAGTCGACCCTATATCAGTTTTGAGAGGTTATCGGATTTGAAAACATAACAAATTATTAGATTTATATAATGGGAATAGCTTGGTAGATTAATTTTGAATCAGATTTGACAAGGTATCGGTTTTGACAGGATCGATTTTGAGAGGGTCGACTATATAATGGGTTTGATAAAAAGATAATTATGCTTTATACTGATTGGAGGGTAATATAAGATTTGGACGATTTGGACAGCAACTATAAGAATTAATACTCGATCGGCTAATGCAGTCAGTGTTGTCAATTTTACCGGCCAACCCAAATTTGTTTGGCCTTTTCGGCAAAAAATTGGCCAAAAAAACATATGAATTTGGCCGAATTGGCTGTTTTTTTGGTCATTTTTTGGCCGGCCAAAAATGCTTGGCCGATAAAAATTGCCAACACTGAATGCAGTGTAGCAAAAGCCTTATCAGCCCATACTATATAATTTGAGGAGACAAAATTTTGTTATTAATATATGGTTTTACCTTTTTTTTCTGATATACATAATATATAGATGGAAATAACAAATGTTACTACATTGTCCGTGAATATGCTAATAATGGGAATTTGCGCACTTATCTATCGGCCTCTAATCTGGCATGGAATTATAAATATTTATTATTGATTCAAATAGTCAATGGTTTGAAATTCCTCCATGACAATGGAATTACTCATTCTGAACTGGTAATGTTTGCATTTTTTTTTATATGTAGTATCTACTAGTAGTTCAGCCAAACGAACATTATCTTGATTTTCGGATTTTTGTATTCTCTGAGATGGTAAAAAAAAAAAAAACATTTTGCGGTTCAAAACAGGTTAATATATTTTAATATATTTTATTTGTTACGTATTTTTCTATGCAGATCAACACGTGACTTAAATTACGTAATGATTTCATTTTTTACGGGAGGAATGGCCGGAATGCATCGTGGTTAGGGTCGGGTTAGGGCTAGTGTTAGCTATTCTGTTTAGCAGGAGCTATAGTAAAATTATCGGCCGGGCATTTTTTACTTAATGAACGACTATGGTTTCATTAGTAAAATTCTTAGTGATCTTGGGCAATTACGGCCAATCCGACCATGGTCCCGATGCACCCGGGCCGGAGTTTTGGGATCCGAGTTCACACCGATACGTATCGATACGGGCCGATTTCCCGATCGGGCTCAAAAACGGGTCAAATTTGCAGATCATTTGGCCTGGGAGATTTTCAAAATTCATCCAGAGCCAAATGATCTGCAAATTTGACCAAAATTAATTCAGTTCTTGAGGTGGGATCTGCAAACATCGCAGAGTTTGGAACAGGTCTTATTTTTTCATGTGTTAAACCTGATTAATCTGGTTTTAGTATTTGAAAGATAAGAAAGATAACCGGTTCTAAACTCTAATCTGTTACTTCTACGCGCTACGTACTGTACGTATTAGATGAATAAACTCAAATTGGTTAATTGCACATTGCCCATCTTTACCTATTCCATGGTTTCGTTTGGCTGTCCGAAGTTGATATTTCAGCGGTACTTGCCCGGAATATGTTTGATAAACAACTTCAAGTGCCTTGGAGTGGCACTATCAGGCATGTGGAAACTTCAAGTGCCTGAAGTAGCAACTTCAACGACATCGTAAAATTCAATTTATACATATTTATTTATTTATTTTTTTTTATTAAACTTTAGCACCCAAAGAGCATTTTAGTGCACAACGGCATTCCAAAATTAACTAATATTTGGATGTCGAAATTTAGATTACCTAATAAATTCTCATTTGTTGAGTATTGTCCTCCCGAGATTTTATCATCGAGTGATATTATTCCTAACAAAATGAAATTAGACATTTATAGATTAGGTGTACTTTTGTGGGAAATTTCTAGTAATGGTATTGAACCTTTCAGTAAAAGCTGTGATCAGCTTTCTTTAATTAATGATATTAAAAATGGTATTCGTGAGTTGCCAATAAGTGGAACTCCACCTAAATATATTGAGCTCTATAAGAAATGTTGGGATAATGATCCAGGTATAATATCATAATATGCTGTTATACTATACTTTATTCTTTATCTATAACATTTATCTTACATTATACAACCTTTATATTAGATAACCGACCTAATTGTGCGAATATTCTTGTTGAATTAAATGCACAAAGGACAACTACAAAATCTAATAGATATAGTGACCCTAGTTCAAAATATGAAATATTGAAGGTAGAATTCGTTAATCATTTCAGCTTAAATAAAGGTAGAAATTATAACAAGTATGATTTTGTCCATGGTGAAGGGATTATTTTACGTGATGATGGAGAATTAAAGGTACAAAAAACTTTCCAATCATCTCCAATTATTTATTTTTCGAAAAAAGGTTCTGTAACTTCTGATGTAGCTATGGAAGTAGAACCAGAAAAAGATTATATAAGGATCAATATTCCAATTTGTACAGTTCAATACCAAAGTAAGGCAACAGATGAATTTATCCACGAAATTAGAAATATCATAAGTATTCCAGATGAAAATAAGAAACGAGAAATGTTAAAAAAGAAATTAAATAATTATGGTGACTATATAGTTACAGAGATAGTCATTGGTGGTGCAATTACTATTAAAAACTGGTCCAAGATTGATGATACAAATAAATCTCGCTTAAAGACCTACTTTCAATGGGGTATTGACTATGCAAAAGGCAAAAGATTAGAGATTTTTGAAGATGTGTTACTAGATGGCTTGCCTCCACTTCCTTCATTTGAAGCTTCGGAAACTATGAAAAGTGTTGGAGATTTATACGCTTGGCTTAAAAATTTGTATAGTTATAAAAATTTGGAGATTATATCATATGAAAACTTCAAACCGTCCTATCAATCATTGCCAGATGATTTGATTCAACAAATATTTGAATGTTCTAATCTTCAACATTTAAGCAAGTCCTGTTCAGCATTAGTTCCTCATATACCCTCTCAATATGATAGTAAAGATGCTTTAGAATGGATAAAGATGACGAAACCTCCATCAGAATTATACATGCGGGACTGTATACAAAATAATTTATTGCAACATGGTATACTTTTACAGTGTTCAAAGTTAGGACATGGCATAAAACCTGCACTAAAATTTTTGATGGAACCTAAAATAACTCCGATGAATAAAGTTACTATTTTAATATCACAGCCAAAAACCCTCCAAGCAGTATATCTATTGGAAAATGGCGTTATTTTAAAAGAGGATGAATTAGAACTTGATAGTATCCCTTTTTCTGAGTACAGTTCATTACTTAATCGTCCTTTAGAGGATTTCAATAATTCTAAAAATTATTCAGAAAAAATTTATTGCCAAATAATTTTTCATGCGTTAAAGATTTCTTTTGATCCTTCAAGCATCAAATGCTTAGAACAATTTTCAGATGCGGTTAACTCCGCTTTAGAAAGCTATGAACCATTTAAAGGTCTCTGCAAGTTGTTTGGAAATGACTACGGACATTTATTACCAAGAACTTTTACTTTAGGCGGAGTTTTATCAAAGACATTTAAGTCATGTGATGACTTAACAAACTTTATTCATGAACGACAATTTGAATTCGAAGGAAATGATCCAGATGCGCCTCGGGAAATTGAGGAAATTTTAAAAATATGGAATGGTGAATCTCAAGATATTGATACTTCATTGTTTCTTGATTATGATGGAAATATTGTTCATCGTAATAATATTGGGGATTGGTGGAAAACTCTTGCAGATAGTCCTAATAATTGGAAAGTTACATCATCAGAAGATTGGATACCATTATACAAGATTTTAAATAATGCGCATAAAATTGAAGCAATTTTGGATGATAACTATCATATTGTTTTTAATGGGGAAAATTCACTATATAATAATCAAACTACGGTAATTATAAATTTTCCTGGGCCAATTGAAAATACCTATTATATTTTTGGAAACGTCGTGGAGGAAAATAATAAAGGCGGATGGGAAAGAGTTCCGGATATTACAGTTCGTTTTGACTATCAAAATAAACATGGATGCGCTGCATATATTCTCAAAAATAGTGTTGCAAGGTATTATTATTATAATTATACTGTACATGATTTTTATGATTAAAAATTTTACGAATTTTCTAACAATCATTTATTACCATATTAAAACTTAAGTCAGGACAATTTAAAACTTATTTGGTTCGTGCTCGCTAAACCAAACGGATACTATAGTAATAAAAACAGAAACGTTAAGCTCGCTTATGGAGAACTTGACATTGACGGCAACCAATCTAATGTTACATTAAATAGTGAAAATATATCTTCAAATTGTGTTCTTATGACTTCATTTGTTTCCAGAACACTAAAAGACACGGTCATTTATGATACTATACTCAAGGATTGGACAAAAGCGACAATTGAATTAGAAATTCAGAGAGAAGAACGGGATGATAATTCAAACCAGAAAGTTATAAAGAAGATTGGATTAATTGACGCTTCAGATGAAGATTCAAGCGACGATTCTGAAAGTACTATCGAGAATAATTCAGAACGAAACCCTCAAGAAAAGATGACTCTTAGGTGGTGTATAGTTTATGCAAACGAAAGAGAACCAATGAAAAGTGAAGATAAAGGAACATACCCATGGAATGCATTTGGAATCGTTCTTAATGACAACTTTAAAAAAGATTAATTTGGGAAATTTTGCATTATAGAAATAACATAGCACAGATTGGACTTTAAGTTAGAAACAGGCATTTTAAAGCTCAAGAAAATACCATAATAAATTTTTTGAGTGCGAAGAATTGCTATATTTGATTACAGAAACTCCTCCAACTGACTCTACAAAATTTTCATAATTAAATTTTTGGGAAAATAATTGTCAATAAGTATTAACGAATTATTACATATAATTATTCGTTAATATTCTATTGAGTTTTTGTAACATATTTAGAATTATTGGGATATTTGTTTATACATTTTAGAAATTTATTGCAGAATTTTTATCAATTATTCTATCGGTATGAACTCTGATAATTTAGATATAAACCTTTCAGATATCAACTATTTATATTTTTTGTATTACGTAATTTATAATTATTTCTCATAATAATTTGTACAAGAGGAAACTTTTTCATATGGGAAAACTCGATATAAGAAAGAAAGTTATAGCTATACGAAACTCTTGATATAAGACCCCAATGGTTTTCTTACATCGAGAGTCAGTTGTGTAATATAATATTGCCATTGAATTTGTAAAGAGAAGATCTTTGTCTCGATTTTTATTAATAAATACATTATCTTATTACAATAAAAGATGCAGTTACTTCTGAGATAGACTAACAAGTTTTTCACAAATTTGAGCTAAAGTAGCTGTAATAATAACATAAATTTTAACTTTTTATACATTTCAATTATGTGAGGACTTGATATTTAGTCATATGAGTATTATATTACTGAATGTTGATTATTAAGGATAGCGGTATTTAATATTTTTAGAATTACATACTTCAATAGCTTTTGATTGACCAAGCCTTGCTGCTTTTATTAACCATTGCTCTCCATCTTCTTTTTCCTTTTTGTTATCGCCAAATAGCCAAATAACACCTAAATTATACATTGCTGTAGGATTATTATTTTCTGCAGCTAATTTAAAATATCGAGTAGCCTCCTTTCTATCTTTATTAACACCAAATCCATAATAAAGGCCAAAACCATATCTCAATTGTGCTTCACGGTAATTAAAGTTCGCGGCTTTTTGAAAATATCTCATTGCTGCTTGAACGTAAGTATCTTCTCCTTGAATCACATCTTCAATATCTTCTTCGTAGAGTGTTTTTGATTTTAAAATATCTTGCTGTAAGTAATATCCAATCCAATAATCTGCAATAAAGTTCCCTCTTCTAGAAAGATTTACGAATGTTTTCCAAGCCTCGAGAGTATTGCCATTTGGATCAGTGTGTTGTTTAATTGCATCTTCCAATGACATTTGTGGTGGGAATCGTGGTTCAATCGGTATGCTTTCATCATCGAAATCTTCGTTCGCTTCGTCGAGGCAATCTCCAAACAAAGATAATGGGTATATATTACCCCCACCAATTATAAATCCTCTTTCATCCATATCTACTATACACCACCTAAGAACCACTTTTTCTTGAGGGATTTGTTCTTTTTTATTTGTCTCGAAATCATCTTTTTCACCATCTGAACCCGTATCTTCATAACCATCTTCTAAATTTTCTTCTGAATCACTAACTAAATTTATTGAGTCTTCCTGTATTTCAATATTAATCGTTGTTTTTGACCAACGCATGGGTTTAATAGTGTAAAAAACTGTATCTTTCCTGGAAACAATTGATGTTATTAGAACACAATTTGAAGTGAGTTTTTTACTTGTCAATTTCACCATAGTTTGTGTATGATCGACGTCAAACTCTCCATAAGTGACTTTAACGCTTCTATTTATGTTACTGCAGAATCCTTTTGGACTACCGAGTACAAACCAAAGGAGTTTTAAATCTTCTTGGATCAAACTTTTAGAAACAAATTACTGTTAGATAGCCAATTAATAATATTGTAACTATAAATATTCGGGACATACCTCATATCACAATTTTTATATATATACGCGGCACAACCATTATTGTTAAAGTAATCAAACCGAACGGTTATTTTGGGAATTCCCTCCCAATTACCGTTAATATTTTTCTTTACAACGACTCCATAAATATAATATTTATCATCAAAGAGCGATTCAGGAAACTTAATAATTGCTGTAGTTTGGTCGCGACTTAAAGATTCTTCTCCGTTACAAACAACGTGATACCTATCATCAAACATCTCATCAATATTTTTGTGTGTTTTCTTCATAATCTTGTATAATGGCGTCCAATCTTCGGAGGCAACAACATTCCAATCACTATGTCTATTCTCGAAGAGATCTTTTAACCAATCATCAATTTTATCATGGTTAATGATATCTCCATCATTATTAAGAAAATATGTTGTGTCCAAATCTTGAAATTCTTCGTTCCATTCTTTTAACTTATCTTTAATGTTTTGAGGAGTTTGGAGATCTGTTATATCATATTCAAGAACAATATTTTTTGGCAAATTTATACCAGTATATTCATATTTTTTTGACAAAGTCCCGCCCAAAGTAAAAGTTCTTGATAATAAATGACCAAAATTATTTCCAAATTGTTCACAAAGGTTTTTAAATGGAATATTACTTTGAAGTGCAGAATTTACTGCGTATGAAAAGTCTGATAAAGCTTTAATGTCCGAGAGATTAAATGAAATCTTCACTGTGTTAACACTAACTTGACAATAAATTGTCCTAGATTGTTTGTTTGTAGAATGTTGAAAATCCTCTAAAGGGTGATTAAGTGTCGAACTATACTCAGCAAAAGGAATTTTATCAAGTTCTAATGCATCCTCTTCTTTTAAAATTATACCATTTTCTAATAAATAGGCTTCTTGGCGAGTTTTGGGTTGTATTAATGAAACAATTATTTTATTTATTTCGGTAATTTCAGGTTCTCTTAAGAACGTGAAGGCAGCAAATTTCCCATGGCCGAGACTTAATTGTTGTAGTATCACACCATGCTGTAATTTATTACTTTGAACCCAATCACTAAGATATAAATGATGCGGTGGTCTTCTTATTATCCATTTCAAAATATCTTGTTTTTCATAGTCAGTAGGAATGTTTGGAATTAGCGAAATGTAACATTTTTCATCGGGTGCAAAGTTCAAAACTTTGAATATTTTATTTTTTAAATTATCAGGCAAGAGCTCATAAGACGGAATAACTTCTTCATATGATATGACATCTACAAAATTGAGATCGTATATACTTTTAAACCAAGTATATAAGTCTCCGACAGTCATCATATTGATATAAGTTTCAAGTTGTGGTATTCTATCAAGCGGTATTTCTTCAAAAATTTTTTTAGCACCCCCCTTACCATAAAGAATTGCCCACTGAATGTAACATCTTAAATATGACCTACTTTCGGCAGGAACCTTTGACCAATTTCTAATAGTAATAACACCACCAAGAGTGACCTTTTTAGCTACATAATTACCATAATCATTGAATGCCTTTTTTAAATTCTCTTTAATTTCTGATGAATCAGAATTAAGTGCAGTTCTTATTTTCTCAACAAATTCATTAGTAGCAGTTTTACATGTATATTTTACAGTTACAACTGGGACATGAATTCGTACGTCATCATCTTTTGGGTCCTTTATTTTCTTATCTTGATTCTCAAATAAACTTGAATTATTTAAATGCTTCCAAGGTGAATCTTGACTTTTCGGAAGATAGATTGTTGGAGAATGCATATACACTCTGTCTATTTTTAGATCACCGTTATTATGTAAAATAAATTCCTTCGCGGGGCTAAAATCAAAACCATCAAGATTTCGACCTTTGTTCAATGCAAAATGATTAATTAATTCGGCCCTGAGCTGATTTGCTTTTAATAATTCTTCATAATTTAATTCACACGTGGTATCGACGTAAGTTCTAGGTCTAGATTTCCGTACGCCAGTTGGATTCTCGATTTTATACACTTCCAGAGAGGAAACATTTTTTAATTCTTCAAGAATTTTTGCGCAATTTGGTCGATTATCTATTAATAATTATGATTATTTTTAGCTAATATATATTAATTTTCCAATTGTTATGAGTAAAATAACGATTACGTACCAGAATTATTATCCCAACATTTTTTATAAAGTTCAATGAATTTAATTGGTGTACCTTTTATAGGCAATTCCCGATCGCCATCAATAATTGCGAATTCAATATTGTTCTGGTTAAGAAAAGGCTCAGTACCGTTACTGGAAATCTCCCACATTATTAAACCTAGGCTGTAAATATTTGACTTAGTTTTATCCTTAATCTCTATTGAACGCCAAATTTCAGGAGGGTCGTATCTAGACAACGAAGGTTCATTAGACTGGCGGATTTGGGACATTCCAATATTGGTTAATTTAGGAATCTCTTCATGCATAACGATATTTTTTGGATTCTAGATTTTTAAAGACGTAAGATTTCAAATGTTGCAAATAAATTATAAATAATTCGAAACCTTTATTACCAGATCTGAATGAATGACACCTCGGTCGTGAAGAAATCTTAAACCATTAACAATTTGACTTGTTAGTGTTAATTTCTCCTTCCATTTTAGAAGAGCACCCTTTGAATTAAGATAATCACGCAAATTTGTGGCCGCATATTCTCTAACGAAGAAATAACTAGTTCCGTCTATTGTACAGGCAAATGTTTAAAAGATTAATACATTCATTATTTTACGTATTTTTGTAAGGCAGTTCTTGACAATTCAAACTATTGTCATATCACAGTTAACAATGCCGAAAATTGCGAATCTCTGGTTAAAATTAGCTGAAAATTTTTACTAACGAAAACTATCACTGAAAACTGCCAGTGAAAGCTTTAGTAAAGACACTTTCGAGCCTATTTTCTAAAAATTACATCGATCTATAGGCATTGAATTAATACAGGCAGCCGACTCAATTTCGACACGGCAATTAATGTTAAATATAATAATTTTTTAATAATAAATTGACATTCACCGTACGTTAAGCCATAAACTTTTAGTACATTATTGTGTACATATTGTTTTAACTAAATTAATAAGTGTTAGTTTGATTATTTATGAAGGGTTTAAAAAACACATATGTACCTCGATCATCAAACTTCTAGCAGCTATTTCATCATATTGTTCTAAATTTCTTAATAGACTTAAATTTACAATCTTATCATCCCATAGCTTAACAAATTGCATTTGTATATCTTTAGGATCAACGAGTTCACTTGGTGGCTGTCTAAACTTATCATATTTTATTAAGTTTATTTTTTTATCTGTAACTTCCTTTTCTACGTGTTGATATATTTTGCTATGAGGCATGCTGATATGATCAATGTAAATTAATAGACAATGGTCAAATGCGAATCAAGAAGGATAACAGCTAATTATATTAACCTAATGTTACGTAACGCCGTGTATTGTAAAACATTACACGCAACTTTGTTTATGTCATATGGCTTTTTTAAAAAAAAACATTCTAACAAAAAAAGCATGTCGGGATGAAAGTAAATGATTCTTAGTTAATGAAATGATCAGCAAATAATCATAATCGAATACGGTTTGGTTTTCCAGAACAGATTTAAGAGCAGTTGTTTTGTGTGTAGGGGTATTAACTCTCACCTGATCTACAAACAATATTTTGTTATTTACATTATTGTTATTTAATTACTATTTATGTGTTAAGTGTTAGTGTGTTCTTGCTGACACACAAACCATTAAAATGGTACTCACAGAAAAATGAGAAGATTTATCAACACATCATAAATTTAATAAATATGCAGTATGTAAAATAGTATAATCAAAATAGGGGATATTAATATAAATATTGATATATTGTATACTAATATTTAAATAAACGGCTTAGACTTCTAACCAGAACATACTTCAGTACTTTTGGAAGCTATCGCACTTTATGTGGGTTAATTAATCAACTTACCATGGTATAAAAAAAAAAATTGTAAGCCAGAGGCTTACGTCAATGAGCTTTCTATATAGACTGCCTGGAATCAAAAACTAACCAATTTCCTTACCATGGTTAAAAAACTTAGGTCGAGGCAAAAATTCAAGGTTTGTGTCGATTAACTAATGTAGTAATTCATACTGTGATACAACCGGAATTCAAAAAGGAAATTTTAACAATGCATTCATGAATTTCCTTTTTTGAATTGCTAAAAAGAGTATCCTTCCGTAAATAATCACTAGACCCTCTAACCACTTTTTAAATGTCAGATTAGCGGAAATCACAATGAAGTCTTTAGTCAAATTATTCCTGCTAATTTGACATTTAAAAAAGTGGGGTAGAGGGTGTGGTGCTTATTCACGGTAGAATACGGTATCGCTATTACATTTAGCTCCACTAAAGACTTGTCTTCGTAAATTAAATCATGAACAATGAATATAAATATTTATTTCTAGAATTTTCAAATAATATAAGTAATATCCATAACTCTCATCGTACCTGGTTCGAGTTTTGCCAGCCAAATGATTACATTTTTCTTAGACAAATATTTATACATTTCACCAAATGATATAACATATTAATCTCTGTATTTTATAAATAAAATGTTTCAGAACTTTATTGGTAACAGCAATTTCCATTAGCGACCTTGAGGTCCTGATCTGTTCTAATTTATCTATTTTCGATTGCTGTATTTTTTGTCTCAATGAAAGTTGATCAGAAGATAATGTAAACAAACCAATTGTTTGGTACACAGGACTATACATTCTTCATTAAAGGTGACGCTTAACCCTCCTTTTTTTTTTCTTGACTCAGCTCTATTTTCCCAAGAAACCATCGTTGATTAACCTACATTAGTTATGTCCGTTACGATTTACAAGCACATTGAAAGATTAGTTCACGAAAAAACAATTCATTTAATAGATTATGCTGAGTTTAATCAAGCAGGAAAACCTGTTGAAAATAAACACATCATATGTGTTAAAAAAAAAGGGAAAAATGATCTAGTAAATTTAAGTTTATTGAAGAATTTTGGTATATATAACGATAGTGTCACTAGATTGATGATTGAAGTACGTATTAAAAAAAACTTCTCTTGAGTGTAGGGTTGTTAATTGGAATATTATATTCTGGAGCACTTAGGTTTGAGCCCAAACCAGACTGGAGTGAGTTATAAATATATTAAATAGAATATTAATTCCGGGTTGCTAAACCGGAGACAAAGCTAGAATATTATATTGGCGTTTAATACTCCAAGCTGGTTTGAGTTGAAACAACCCATTAACAACCCTATTCACGTGTCAAATAGAAATAACTAATATCTATTTTCTTAGCTCAAACCGTTTGTACATGATAATGTGCTGAGAATTTTCGGTCTCACATTCGGTTAGTTAATTATTTAAAACATTCATTATGAATGTATATGAGCTCTTAATTAATATTAAATATGTACATTATTAGATGGAAATAATTACTACTTTGTACAGGAATATGCTACCATGGACTTGCGTACTTATCTTAAAATATGTTCGGATGGTGCTCCTCTAACATGGCACGATAAATTATTATTAACGAGCGGAATAGTTAATGGTCTAAAATACCTTCACGATAACGATATAATTCACTCAGAATTGGTAAAATTTTAAAAATCTCATTACCTACTTATTGCATTCAAAATCTTAAGATGTTTGATTTAAATTATTTAGCATGCGAAGAATATCGTTATGTATAACGAGATTCCTAAATTGACTAATATCGGAATGCTTCAAGCTCACGCATCTGGTGACTTTTCGTTCTCTAAATACAGCCCTCCCGAAATTTTATTGTCACTTGCGGTTAGGGATAAAAAAAAGTTAAACATTTATAGCCTAGGGGTTTTGATGTGGGAGATTTCTAATGATGGTATTGAGCCTTTTCCTCAAAGTAATGATGTTCCATTAGCAATTAATATTGCTAAGGGCTTTCGAGAATCACCCGTAAAAGGAACGCCGATTAAGTTCGTTGAACTTTACGGGGAATGTTGGGACGATAATCCTGGTTCGGTATTATTTTATTATTTGAGACACCAAGAAAAAATTTAAATCATGTTTTCTCTTGGTGTCACTCATTTATTAGCGACAATTACTTATGATTAATTAAATGGCATAATAATTAATTTTTACTAGACGTCCGACCTGATTGTGAACAAATTATCAAGAAACTAAAAAATATATCACTCTCGGACTCATATGATGGAAGAAAAATTGCAAATACTGCTGGTCCCCGGATATATGAACCCAAACCCAAACCCCAAACTAAAAAGAGTATCGATCTTGATTTAAATTGCGAGTTGGATTATGAAAAGTTATTTAGACAAAAGATGTTAAGGGTCGAGTTTATTAACCATTTTGCCTTAAACCGAGGTAGAAATCTTAATGGACTTGATTTTCGTCGCGGGGTAGGAATTATATTACGTGATGATGGTAATCCAAAAATTTGTAAAATGACTTCGAGTTCTCCAGTCATCTATCTTCCACTGAATAACGAATCATCATGGATAGAATTAACTAATTCAAGTTTATTTGAAATTAAAAACGAGAATAATATGGGTTCAAAATATGACGATGTACGGATCCATATTCCAATTTCAGCTGTGCAATATACTGCTAAACCTACAGATGAATTTATTCAAAAGATTAAAAGTGCACTTAATATTCCAAGTGAAAGTGAAAGGCGAAGAGCATTAGAAACATGGTTTAATCATTTCGGCAATTACGTTGTGAAAAAGGTCATACTTGGCGGCGCTATTACGATTAGAGATTGGTCAAGAGTCTCTGATGAAAGTAAATCATATTTAAAGAGTTACATACAATGGGGAATCGACTTTGGAAAGGGAAGGACTTCGGAAATTTTTGAGGATGTTCCACTTGATAAATTGCCTAAACTTGAAACTTCTGCTGAAATCGAAACTATCGGTGATTTATATAGTTGGTTTAAAAGTTTATATAGTTTAAAGTTCGCAGAAATTATATCATATGAAGAATTTATTCCATCTTATGAATTATTGCCAGGAGATTTACAACAACTATTGTTTAGAGTTATTGGTTCTAAACCTGCTGAAGCATCTCGCGAGAAATTAATTCCGAATATTTCGTCTCAATATGACAAGCAAGATATTCTAAAGTGGATAATAATGCACCCACCACTTAGCTTATATCTTGGAGATTGGGTCCATAATAATGAGTTACAATGTGGTGTAATCCTACAGCAATCAAGTCAGAAACATGGCAAAAAGGCAGCATTTAAATTTTTAAAGGAGCCAAAAATAACAGAACTAAATAAAATCACGATTTTATTAGCACAACCACAAACTCTTCAAGATGCCTATTTATTAGAGAACGGCATTGTCTTAAAAAAAGATGATGGTTTAGGATTAGAACTTGATAAAATCCCTTTTGCTGAGCATAGTTCGACACTTAATTATCCTTTAGAAGATTTTAAATGTACTAAAGATCAACCTTCAAAATCAATTTATTGTCAAATAATTGTGCGCATGGCAAATATTTCTTTTAACTTTGCAGATATCAAGTCTCTGCAAGAGTTTTCAGATGCAGTCAATAATGCACTTCAAAGTAATGAACCATATAAAAATCTTTGCAAAGTGTTTGGAAATGACTATGGGCATTTATTACCTAGAACTTTCACTTTAGGCGGAATTCTATCGAAAAAGTATAAGTCTTATACAAACACAATTCTACCACAAAGATTTGAATATAATTTAAATGACCCTCAGACACCTCAAAATATTGTAAAAAAGCTAACAGAGTGGAATAAAGAACTTCAGCATATAGATACTTCATTCTTTTATAGTGATAGCGGTGATTTAGTCTGTCGCGACGATATTGGCAACTGGCTTAAAGATCTAATGAATAAACAGAGTGATTGGAAAGTTATTAATTCTGAAGATTGGATACCGCTTTATCAAATTTTGAAAAAAACACGCTCTGATATAGACGATATTTTTAATAATTATCAAATTGTTTTTAATGGAGAGGAGTCATTGCAGAAGGATGAACAAACTACAATAATTATTAAGTTTCCTGGTTCACTTATTGACAATAATTATCATTGTTTCGGGACCATTGTAAAAAGAAACGAAGATGGAGGTTGGGTAAAAATTCCTAAATTATTCGTTCGATTTGATTATCTTAATAAAGATGGGTGTGCTGCATATATACACAACGATGAAAATTGTGATATACGGTATATATCTAGAATTCAAAATTTTTATTTATTATTAGCATAAAAATTTATTATTATCTAACTTTAATTTACATACAAAAGCTTAAAAAAAGTAGATACAAAACTCCTCTGGTTTGTACTCGCCGATCCAAAAGGATATTGTAGTAATAAGAACAGAAATGTTAAAGTCGTCCATGGAAACTTTAATATCATTAAAGCCCAATCTGAGGTAGCTCTGAATAGTAAAAACCTCTCTACAAATTGCGTTCTAGTAACATCAATTGCTTCTAAAAATGGTTCAAGTTTTTATGACATAAAACTTAAAGCTTGGACGAAAACTAAAATTTTACTCGAATTAACAAAGGATCAAGTTAAAGTTGATTCGCAGCCTATTGAAGACGGCTTTGATGACACAGGCTCTGATGGTGAAGTGGATAACTTTGATTCAGATAAGATGAAACAATTTAATCGAGAAACTACTGTTCTTGACTGGTGTATTATATACACAGATGAAAAAATGGATAGTGAGGCTGATGAATCCTTAAAATACCCATGGTCGATATTTGGTAATAATCTCGATACCAATAAGAAAATATTGGGCCAAGATGAAATAGACCTTTATGAACGACCATCTCGGATGTCGTTAGAAGATGCAATGGAACAACATGTTAAACAAGATGGTAATAGACTTGAAGCATGGAAAACACTTGTTCATCATGCTCGAGAAGGAAACCATATTGCAAAATACTGGGTTGGATATTACCTACAACATGATATCCTTACAGCGTTTAAAATTTTTAAGAGAAAATTTTATGAAGAAGTTGTTGACGAATTTGCAGAAGGAACAGACAACTATCAACTGGTTGCAATGAAGTTATACAAACAATCTGCGGACGCAGGCTATCCCGAAGCCCAATTAAGATATGGTTTTGGCCTTTATAATGGAAATGGCATTAATCAAGATAAGAAGGAAGCTATGCGATATTTTAGGTTAGCTGCAAAAAATGATAATCCTATTGCAATGTATAATTTAGGGGTTGGTTTGATGTTGGGCGAAAACGAAGTAGAAGGGAAGAAATGGATAATAGAAGCGGCTAGACTTGGTCATCTAAAAGCAGTTGAATTTTGCAATAATAGCGGAATTAATTACTAATGAAACCTGTGGTGTAAGATTAAGATTTCTTTCTGAAATTGTATATTAATTTATATTCCTTCATAAAATGGTTTATGAATAATTAATATATTTTCAAATTGTATTATAATTAATATTATGGATTGCTTAAACTAAGAAATAAAATTTTTCAATCATGCGATGCAGTATTAATCCAAAAGTGCAGACCATAGCATTACCAACCTAAAAAGCTTTGCTAAAAAAATTTTCGCTACTACTATAGATTAGGGTCAAATTTTGTTATTAGATTAGGCTTTACTAATATCAGAAATCCGAAGGAAAACTTTTTGTTAGCATAAATTGTTATGAGTAGAGTTTAGAATCGATTATTATGCAGTTAGCAAAAAAAAGGTATGACCCTGTGATTGCAAAATCCGGCAGAATAATATGACAATTTCTACCAGCATTAATTGAGATTTATAACTAATGTTATAGCGCTTTGCAAAAAGAAATGACCCATGAATCTACAGAATCACCGATTTTCCATTTTGATCTGTAGAAGTCAACTTTTTACAAAGCGCAATAGTAATGCTTCTTATTTCGTATAGAATTAGAATAGAAAAAAAAATTATTTTAATTTGACCTGGTAGTTATCGAGAAAACTTCAATTAAAGCTTTTAAAAAGGTTGAAAATCTTAACAGGAAAATTGATATGATTAATACGAATTAGCTCAGAGATCAGGAGACAGACAAATTTTTGTAGCACGACTATGGTATTCTCGTTAACTCTTCCTGTTGGTTGTAATCAACCCATAACTAGTGATCCGAATCGACTAAAATTTTTTAGCTGACTAATCAGTCAACTAATTTTATGACTAGTCGACTAGTCGTATAATATATAAAGTAAATACAATAAACTACAGTTTAGTAGTCAACCAATTAAAAATTTTGGTTAACTATTTAGTGTTGAGTTTTTACAAATTTCATGCTTAGCCTGCATTATGAAATTCTGGCCCGCATTTTAGCCAATGCGGGGGTCGTCTAAAGCTAAGACCCTAGTGTAACCAATCTAAAAAATTTCGCTATCATGTGATATGTCGATCAACTACTATAAATAGGTACGTACGTTGTTTTTTTTAGTGCGTTTTTTTTCATCGTTTTTTTTTTCGTTGTTTTTTTTTTGTTGTTTCTTTTTCATTGTTGTTTTTTTTTCGTCGTTTTGTTTTTTTTTGTCATTTTTTGTCATTTTTTCTTTTGGTTTTCACGTTCTTTTTTTTTTTAGGTCAATGTTTTTCTTTTGTCACTTTCTCACTTTTTCATCACTTTTTCGGTACTTCTTTTGCCACTTTTTCGTTGCTTTTTCAGTGATTTTTTCAGTGCTTTTCTCATCTTTTTTTGGGACTTGCTCATCATCTTTTAGTGGTCTCTTTTGACAATGCTTTCTTCAGTTCTTTTTACTGAGAATCCAACATTGTAGTTTGGGTTGGGTTAGAGTAGGTAATGCATCTACAAAAGTTGTTTCTTCCTGTTAATTTTTACTAAAAATTCAATGTTGTAGTTTGTAGTTGGGTTAGGGTTAGGGTTAGAGCAAAGTTTCTATTAGTAAAATTTTGCACGAAGCATTTTAATTAGGCCACGAGAATGGTTTCTTATAAATTTTGTTATTTCTGTTTTTTTTTTGTAAAAAAAATTATTAAGTTTTAAATAAAAAATGTTTTTAAATAAATGTTTTATAATTTTCTTTTTTTTTTTAAAAAAAAAATATATCTTAACATTAACATTCATTAAGAAAAAAATTTAATTGGCCAGCACATGACTTGTGAAATTTTTTAAGTTGGTGATGCTAGGGGGTTGTTTAAAGCCTGGCACCTCATGAAATCATCTGAAGCATAGGAAATTATAGGACAATCAGTGATTACGATTTTTTCAGATTGCAAAAGTAAAAATTTCAAATGTTTAATCGAGATATCCCAATAGTCACCCAACCAAAGTTGATTAAAGTTTTTTATTTGAATTTTATGAATCCATAAAATTCAAATGAAAAAAATTTTATCGATTTTGGTCAAGTGGCTGTGGAGATACCTTTGCTTAAAATTTTGAAAAATTTGATACAACTTTTATTTTTGATAGGTATTTTGATTCTTCACTAACTTTGAGTGAAGGTATCTTCACAACCCCCTAACCAAAATTGACAAAAAATTTTTATTTGAATTCTATGAATTATAGAATTTAAATAAAAAAATTTTAGCAATTTTGGTCAGGTAGTTGTGGAAATACTATCACTTAAAATTTTGAAAAAATTTGGCAGCTTTCTATTTTTGATAGGTGTTTAATTTTTCTCTAAATTTGAGCAAAGGTATCTCTTCAAACTCCTGACCAAAATTGATGAATTTATTTTTATTTGAGTTTAAGAATCTATAGAATTCAAATAAAAAATTTTTATCAATTTTTGGCCAGGAGGTTGTGGAGATACCTTCACTAAAATTTTCAAAATATCTATCAAAAATAGAATTTGTGCCAAGTTTTATCAAAACTTTGAGTGAAGATATCTCTACAACCACCTGACCAAAATTGACAAAATTTTCTATTTGTATTCTATGGATTCATAGAATTTAAATAAAAAATATTTCAGTGATTTTTGTCAAGTGGTTGTAGAGATACCTTTGCTCAAAAATTTGGCACAGCTTTTATTTTTGATATTGAACCTAGGTGCTACACAAAAAATGTATGGCAGATCCTCGATTTTGATTGGCTAAGATCAACAATCAAAAAATTAGGCCGAAATTACTCATAAATTTACTAATGAAATTGCAGCTATCTACTAAGTGAAAATTGTTTCTGGTCAATTTTATATGATGCGGGTTTATTTTTTAAAAAATTCTATTTTTGTAATGAAAAATTAAAAAGTTAATTCTGGCCAGAAATTAGTAAACAATTATGTAATGCGGGCCAAAATTTTGAGATCCTCGGCTATTAGCCAATCAAAATCGAGAATCTGCTACATATTTTTTATGTGATACCTAGGGTTAATTATTTTTAATAAGTGTTTTGATTTTTCTCTAAATTTGAACGAAGATATCTTCACAACCTTCTGGCCAAAATCAATAAATTTTTTTATTTAAGTTCTAAGAATCATAAAATTCAAATAAAAAAATTTATTTATTTTGGTCAGGAGGTTGTGAAGTTACATTCGCTCAAAGTTAATAAAAAATCAAAATACCTATCAAAAATAATTAACCGCAACAATTTGGATCAGCAAATTCTTAAATTTGATTGGCTAAGAGTGATGATCAAAAATTAGGCCGTAATTACTCATAATTTTACTAATGAAATCTTAACTGCCTATTAAGTGAAAATTGTTCCTGGATCAATTTTACTATAATAGGGTAACGTCTAAAGTGGAGTAGATTCTTATAATATATATTTTATCAAATTAACTTTAGTGTTATACCATCTTAGATTAGGGTTAAAGCAGGTTTTAGATAGTTATATATAAGCAAAATTGCCTTCTCAACATTTTTATTTTTTTATTTTTTTTCGGTATTAAGGTGACCTCTTTGGCTGGGGAACGTTTTATTAGATAGTTATGTTTTTCAATTACAGTAAGGGTATATATAGCCACACGTGCACCTTTTGAGTGCCTAATTTAAGTAGTCCGCCCGAAGGTTCTACACTATCTGCCGTACCTG